TACACAAACTGGTCATTGATTTAACTGTTGTACCTTACATATTAACGCAACTCACTAGAAAGGGATAAATAATCTTTAATTTTAAGATTCTACCTTGAATGTACTGTAACTTGTTATTAATATTTGTAATAAACAGTTTTAAATTTAAAATATTTTTTTTAATGCAAAAAATGGATTGTATATACAAATTTGCAGGGTGATTTAACATCACAATACCTTCATATTCATACACTGGCTTTTACCTATTCTTAAAGTAATGTATCCAAATTAACACCCTTGATAAGAAATTTAAAATAAATAGAAAGTTTTGCCATCTCCTGAAAAATCACTCTTTATACGATACGAGTTTGAGAAAGTACGGCATAGAAATAGCAATTTGTACAAAGTGATTCCAAAGAAGTAGATGTTTAGCTTGTTTGGCGAATTCTTAATTGTTTTTCAATTTATTACTTAAAATTGTTGCTGTAATCATTCTGCGTGTTGCTGCAATCATTGTACTTGACGGAGTAAATGTAAGATAGAAAAAAGACAAAAAAACAGATGGAAGTAAGTAACATTATCATCTTTCAATATTGCAGTTGCTTTTTTAATGTAAATACCGATATTGACAAGGTTATAATGGGAGAATGGTGTCCAAGGTAGGTAAAACCTGTGTTTCCAATCATCCAGGTCTCCACCCCTCCTAAATGGCAATAAGATTAAGCCTAAACACGTCCAGAAGTTAACACGCTAATATTACATCATTTAGAAAATTATGCAATTTTTTTTTCATATCCAATGAGATTCATGGGAAAAATATTTCACATTTAGTTTACTCTCCAAGAACTACATACTACTTACTTGACACTTATAATAGGCGATCCAAATACGCTGGATGTTTAAAATACGTTTTGTGTGCCAGATGCTCACAGTGTACACATTATCTGAAGTCTCGAAACTGAAGTATTGCACAAGTTGTAACTTCAGGCAGATGTTGTGGTATATAGAAGGTATTGTGCGTGATTATCTATTCTAGCTAAACACAACAAATATCTGCATGCTACTAATCAATTTAGATGGTTTTAACATATACGTTATGTTGTCCTTTGCTGAAGTATTGTATACAAGATAGTCCAGCAAACAACTTTTCTAATTGGCATATTTTTGTTTCTTTAAAGTAAGATAACTTCTTGACTTTACACGAAGATCTAACTGCAACCTAGCAACAGGGATAATGTAAACTACGAAACACTTGGTATAACTTTGAAAGCCAGATTGTGAAACGCAAAACGGTATAGGGCGACGAACCTTGCCCCAGCGTGTGAACGGGTGAATTGATTGATTCACTGATCTAACTAAACGTTAAGAGCACTTGAAATAATAAGAAGTATGACTCCTGAAGTTGAGTCTTCAGTCTATCTAATTAAACGTTTTTCAGGTCGTAATCTGAATAAGTTCACTAGTCTAATTTGTTTGCGAATAATAATGGCCCCGAGATCGATATTACAAACGTGTAAACACGCCCAGATACGCTTGATATCCATCTAAACAAAAACATCAATATACTTAAAATCTAAACAATGCCAAATGCACGATTTGACATTAAGAAATAACCTCAAGAGAATAATTCGATATTTTCGAACCTTTCTACATGGATATCGAAACGTTGTATTACTCAATATCATAGACAATATTATCGCAAAAGGAAGTCATCAAAAATTGCGTAGGAGCATGAATGAGAGGAAACCTTGCAGTTTTCCAACCGATGCGAACTCTTTAATGGATACAATGACATTGTCATTTCAATGCGACCAAGGCGATTCAAGCTAAAAGTCTCTTAAAAATCAATAAGGACTTCTATTTAAAAAAGAGCTGTATTTGGAAACTTTGTCTCAGAGTTCAAATTCCGTGACCATTTTCAGTACAATAAAAACGAAACCACTTAAGGTGGATTGTGGAGTTTTTCAAGAGCTAATGAAGATGTTGTGACCTAATTTATATCTTCAAAAGAAACCGGATAAGCCTTTGTATTCATAAAAGGACGAGTGCATCTCTTAGGGTTGTGTTCCAACATTCTTTATTTTGAGCACAGTAAATCTTTTTTGTCCCTTTTTTGTCGACCAGGTAGCACAGCAGATGCGTCAACACTATCAGGTGACACGCAGTCTGCGGCTGCGTCACGATCGAATAAAGCTTGTAATTTCGTCGTCACCTGCAGCACGTTTACAATGTAACACGATATGCCTTTTAAAATAGTTTTATTATCAAGGCTTGTTCAGGCGACCGAGACGCACCTTTGTCTGTACTAACACTTTCTTAGAAACTGTCGTTTCGGATACTTGTCTTTGAATATTGTCCAACGCTGCAACAATTTTACTTTCATTAAAATGGAAACCTACGGTACCAGCAATGTATTTTGTTTGTAGTGAGTCCTTCCAATGTCAGGTTTAATGGTAAGAGTCTTAGGGCGGTCGGAACAGGTTTTCCCGGTCAAGTATCGGGTGTAAGGTATCGGCCATCGTACATAGTTATTACGTATGTACAGCCAACTTGCTCAAGTTTATGTTGCATTGTTCGAACAAGATTTTAAATGCATTTTTCATTTCTTGAGCAATTCCATTTGATTTGCGTGAATACTTGCGTCAGCGATTTCCTGTGCAATTGCGAAGAAAGATTTGATGACCATTGTTTTCCCTTTGACAAAGCCTCTACAAGGGTATTTAACAATCATCTTCTTCCTACGTGTTTGCATAATAGAAACATATGTAACGTCCTTATCTTTTTATGACTTGTAAATAGTATAATGAGCTTTTTTAAATTGCTTCTGCTCTGTGTGTTTTGTGTAGTGTATTTTTTCAAATACAAATCGTGCATTAGGTTTTTCGAACAAAGCAACGTTTCGGGCCCGTCAAAGGTCCAATGGTCATTTCCTTAGTCATTTCCTATGTGTAACAATCGCGAAAACCTAACAATTCGACAGTACTATTCTTTTACAAGTACTGTACCATTATAATGAAAGTTAAGTAGTAAAAATTCATGTGTAAGTAATACAATCGTGCAGTTAAGTCACGCATTAAACGAAAACAATCGACCAACTCACTTATTTCTATTTGCATCAAACAAGTGCTTTGCAACGCTCTGCAACCAGAGGGCAACGAACATAAACAATGGCGTCCAGAATTTTGATTACGACACAAAGGATGATAAAAAGATGAGAGGCCTCTCAAACACGCGAGGATTCCTACTTTTACTATGGCAAAAGCATTTAATAAACATCTTCATCGTCCTACTGCTGGGCACAAGTCTCTTGTGTAATTAAAGTTTTTGGGCCATAGTCTGCAGCGCTGACCCACTTTCCAAGGGATATGAACCTTCGATATGCAAGTTTCATCACGATGTTCCAGTATTCGACGCGTTTTGCTTCCACATGTCTACGGCGAATGGCTATGGAGTGGAATTCCATGTCTGCAGACTTATTCTCTAAACGCTATAAAGAGGGCCTTTTCAAGGCAAGATTGAAGAGGTATTAAACTGCCTCAGTGGTCGAACGGTTACCATGCCGGACTGCCACGCAGAGGTTCCAGGTTCGATTCCCGGGCCGGGAGAAATATTTGTATGGCCTACAATTATTTCTCTCGTGAGTTTGGGTGTACATGTGGTTGTCTATGTGTGTGTCCATGGCACCCGCGACACAGGGTTTCCCTAGTGCGGGGCTATGTTGAGTGTGTGCGTTATTTATTTATTTATATTATTTAGTGCGTGCATACTACAAACCCGACCTCATCGTCACTTTCCATCTAGTGATTTAGAGGACAAATGCGTATTTGTTTTTTTATTCGATTGAATATTAGCGAGAGGCATTGCCACTAAACATTCACGATGGCGAATCAGAATTAGTAGAGGCGAAGCTGCAGAGCCTTGAACACCGCCGTAAAGTTACCTGCTTATCGGTATTCTACAGGATATATCACGGAGACTGTGCAATGGAATTACACAATTTAATTCCGCCTTTCCATCACCGGGGGATTGGATTTAGGCTTGGGTTCCACCCCTATATGGTGGATATTTCAAAGATTCGCACGAAGCGTTACGTTTCCACATTTCTATGGCGAACGGCTATGGAGTGGAATTCCCTGCCTGCAAACTTATTCTCTAAACGCTATAACTTGGGCTTTTACAAGGCAATATTGAATAGGTATTATTTAGTGCATGCGTTATCACCGACCTCATCGTCACTATCCGCCAGGTGAGATGGACGTCAAATAATGCGCACTTATATATTTTATGAAAAAAGTCATAAGCACTTGACCCCCACAAGGGTCTGTACCGTCATCGTCTCCATTCAGAAGCGACCGTTCCTACCGCTCTGAAAAACATAGGACAATAAGTAAAATAAAGTTTTCCGTGATCGAATTAGGTAAATCGATCGACATCGTAAAGGCTATATTTAGCAAGACTGGCGTTGTTTTTTTTTACAAAACTTGAACATAGCGAGATGGGTAGACGACTTCTAAGACTGATAAAGCAATCTTACGCTATGCTCCAATGAATCCGATTCATAAAAGTTCAAAGACCCATAATTAAAATCTCGATGGACGATGGTACCGCTATAAATGCTATGATGATTTTTGATTTATGATTTTTGTTTTTTTTTTATAATAAAAGTCAAGATATGCTATCACCAGTATTATAATGTAAGCTATTAATTACTAGAATCGTGAGATAGCGTGATATGGAATTTGACCCGGCATTCGAAATCGATACGAGTCGACGTCTGGGTAATACCGTTACCTAATGTCGAACACATCCAACAATAACACAAAGAAACAAGAATTATATTTTGTTAATTCCATAATTAGAAACCGGCCAGGTGTATGACTATTTTAATATAAATGTAACGTCCTGGTCATAGTGCTGAATTTTGTACAGCAATAAAGTGTAAATACCATCACGTAAAACGCATGCGTAGATATTATCGTAAACAAATAGCCTGTTTGATTTTCCTGGAACGTACTGGTAAACTGATGGAATATTTCAAAGCGTTTTATGTAACGCATAACAATATTTACACTAGGCACAGGGTCAAGAGCAAATCAATGACACTGTTATTTAAATTTAACTCTTGCTGCTTGACGTGCTCTTGAATGCCAATTAATAACTTAAACCGGACAGAGTTTCAAACGGGGCAGATATGTCACTTGTCAAAAATTGATATTGTAATTATTGAAAAACAGGTGACAGATTACATCATCGACTCACATTCCATTCCGGCTCGAGTCGCCCATAACACGTATCTGTCGCAGTATAACTTTGACTGGGCGCAATTTAATAACCATTATTTTAACAAGCTGGTCTGTTTCTGTGGCAAATTGTTTCGATAATTCCTATCATTGCCAACAACCTGCGCATCTACATTCTACAGGACTAACGGTACATTATTGAATACAAACAACGCTAGAGAGAAAGCGTGGAGGATTTCCACCCGAGTGAAAGCAACCGAGCAATGCCAGTGTAACCGCCGCGCCGCGTCGTACGGACGAAAACATAACCTCAAAATGTCGCTCGCTATCGCCTCTATCGCTGTACTGGGCACAGCGGCGCTAATATACTGGTACAGGAATAGAGATAAACCTATCAAGTACTTACTGCGTGAACTTCGATACACATTGGACATGCAGGGAGCCGGCGTCGGAGGACTAATCGACGACTGGGTGAATATACGGCGGAATAAAATAGTGTTACCAGATGCAAAGAAAAAAATTGCCGTTATAACAGGAGGTGCTCGCGGAATAGGAACGGAAGTCATCAGAGGCCTTCTCAAAGCCAACATGGTTGTTATTATGGGGATCAGAAAACCAGAACAGGCCACGAAACTCAAGGATACAATGGAAAATTCGGAAAACTTACATGCATTTGAACTGGATTTGCAATCACTGAAATCTGTTAAACAATTTGCTGACAATGTTTTGATAAGGTATCCGGAAATTCATATCTTAGTAAACAATGCAGGGATTATGTTTGGAGACTTCCAGTTGACAGAAGATGGAATTGAAACTCAATTAGCTGTAAATCATTTGGGCCATTTCTATTTGACACACTTACTCTTGCCAGCTTTGAAAAAAGGCGGTGCGATCGAAGAATCGGCCAGAGTTGTCAACGTAACGTCATGCGCCCACTACCCCGGCACAATATACTATGAGGACATTAACATGAAGACTTATTACGACACAACAGCTGCATATGCGCAATCTAAATTGGCACAGGTATATACAACGTTATGTTTGTTTAGATAAAAAATCAGATTTTTTTTTCTTTACTTTGTTATTATGCATGGACAATTATTTATCATGTTTTTTTTTACAGCTTATGACTGCAAGATACGTAAATAAGCTTTTATCTGACGAAGGCTACAGAGTGAAATGCTACGCTGTTCATCCAGGAATCGTCAACACTGATTTGTTTGAGAAGAGTATGTTCAAAAAATTATTTCCTTGGGCAATGAAAATGTTCTTTAAGACTCCGGAAAAGGGCGCCATTTCTATTCTTCACACTTGTTTCGACAAAGATTTAGAAAACAAGGGAGGCATGTACATTAGCAACTGCATAGAAGGCATCAGTAACAGATTTTCAAAGAATGTAGAATATCAGAAAAGATTATTTGAGCTGTCATGTGATATGGTTAAAATTGATTCACAAAATTATGGTAAAGGAATGTAAACAACATTCAATTTCCCTAGTCTTTTGTGGTATGGTGCAAACAAAAATGAAATGTCACAAATACCGATTGCATGTTATTAGATTTAAATGTGCTTACATCTATTAATTGCAAAGTAATAAATATATTTTTCATACAATTTTTTGTATCACTTGATCACATATAACTACATAATTTAAAAAAAATGAGACGAGTAGGTACTCATCTAATTTTTTTTATAATAAAACTAATATAACTCATCTCATTGTTAATAAAACAAGGAAATAATACATAACAATATTTGACTAATAAAAAAAATCTAAGATTGCAGTTTACTTTCATAATGATAATATATGGACAAACAAAGTTTTCACTTGTTTGGAACAGATGATAATTATTTTAAATAATTTGAACTAGATTTTCAACATCATAAAGTGTCTCTGTATCTGAATTTCAAAGTTAAAACAAATACAGGAACCAACAAATAATCAATGATTTCTAGTAATAAACACCTATCAATCTAAATATGAAAGTAGTTACCTAATTATTTATTCCTGAAGAGTAAGTACTTCCTGCAATTGCATGATACCTTACATAATGGACTGTAAATGAGCTAAATTTAAAGTTAAATAACTAAATTTTATATTATATAGACACAGGTTAATTTGACATTACATAATAATAATGTGCCAGACAATCACAGCAATTACCTGGTCACAAACAAAATCCCTGTAGTGACTATGAGAGCACCTGAATTCACTCTGAGAAATTGACCACAACACCCAAATAAGAACCAATTGAGGCAAGTTGTTATCCCAAATTGGTCCTATAGAGAATTAAACGTCAAACCACATCATACAGCATCCACATTACGAGCCATTGGGCGGAGGAGATAATCAAGATTTAATTAACAATTAGAATGAGATTAACAAATAAATATAAGAATGAACATGCAGAGTTCAAATTTCAATGTTGCGTTGCATTAATTTCTTTTAAATAAAGTCTTTTTATAATTACTGTGAATTTAAGCTAACATAAAATATAGTAAAACAATTAAACATTATATATATTTTATTCTTGTATTTCTATCTGCATTCGCTTTTCCTTGTACATTCCAATTTTAAATTTGTAAAGTTGTTTAAATTCACACCCCATGTTCAGGGAAATTGGTACAAAAATTTAATGATAACACAGTTCTATTCTATTTTTGTGTTATTGAACAGAATTCTTTTGTTATGAAGAGAAAGAGAAATCAATGGATTAATTTCCCATTTTGTTGACTTTTATGGCATGCCAGTTACTCATGATGAAATAATGCTTGAATGCTATAATTTTCATGGACACCCAATGAATTCAATGACCCATACATTTAAGTAATAATAAGATATATGTATACTTTAAGAGTTCTGTCCCACTTTAGGAAGAAGCTAAAGGTACAGACCTAGGACTGGCCTAGACACATGATGCCAGTGTGCGCAGACTTAGAAAAATATTTTGTGAATAAAAAAAATCTTGCACCCAGGTGCGCCCAAACCTTTAAATCAGGCCATGGATACTTGTATTATAGAAAGTTATATTTTTAATAATTTGTTTTATTTATGACATGAAGCTCAGAGTGAAGAGTAGATAAAAAAATATTAAGTCCTAAATATCCGCGATGATCAATTCATCACCACCAGTTAATGTCACAATAAAACTCAGTATTTTATCCAACCATGATGGAGCCATAAAAATTAAAAAAAAAACACATCCAAACCTTGTATATTACCTAGACAAGATGTTAAAATGTCTTGGTGATTGTCATTTCCATCATACTAAGGACATATTTATAATTTACTTATTACCCATTCATAAAAAATATATACACAATGATTACAACTAATAAACTTACCGGCTGAAGAATCCAGACAGTCCTTTCTTCTTCAGCTTAGCCTGTTCCTGATCTCCCAAAGTAGTATCACCAAGATCATCCTCCTTCGAGGCACTTGACCCCAAAGAACACTCGGAAAGGCTTGAAACAGTACTCGAGAATGAACCTCCATCTTTGCCACGCTGGTGCCCACTCACACTGCCACCCCATTGGAGTGTACTCTTAGGAGAATCACTGGTATCACTCTTCTCACAAGTTGATATAGAGAAGTTCCCTTCGTCGCTGAAACTACTCTTTTTGGAAAGCTTGTCAATTTCATCAGCTACGTCTTCTGGCGTTTTTTCAGCCTTCGGACTCACAAAGTGCAATTGCTTTGTAATTGGATTGTATGCGAGTTGCATGTTATCCAACGCCTCACTAAGTCGCATCCCGCCTTTTTGGCACGGTGTAGTCGACATCCTGAATTTTCTAAATTCGAACGCGGAATGCGTTCACAAACCACATCCATATTTATTCGCACCAAATTTCAGTACAGCCATTATTAATGTGAATCATTTTTGTAATGGTTTCATTTATTTCCGCACCATTAAAGAATTTAATCTCCGTCAAAACACTTTGCCTATCACAAACAACACTACAATAACATCAATAGGATTTTATCAGTCCATTCGCTAATTATGTTTTTAATAAAAATAGAAAGACACAACCTTTGATAATTAGATGACGAATCAATAAACAATATTTATAAGTCTACACTAATTACTGTAAAATAATGTTCAAAATAAAGACTGAAACAAAAATTACGATGTTTGTGTATAAACTATTTTCGTACTAAATAAATATAAAAGCAAACACACCCATCCCATCGCCCTTTACTTTCCACTGTAAATAAGTTGACTTAAGAATTTGTGAGCCTCGCTTCGTCTGGAAAAGCTCAAAACTTACAATGTCAATTCGCTTGATTCGCATTCTTTTTTCGCAATCCCATATGTTAGACTGAGATAGCGCAATATGAATTAACTTCATCTGTTTCGTTTTATTTGTATGTAATTTGTAATTTCTGTACAATAAAAGCTACGTCAGAAATGTTATACTACCAAATAAAGAATAACTGCTAAGCAATAAACTGAAACTTATGTATCACTATTTTTAAAATCGGAAGCTTCATATGCACTTTCTAAACGATAACTGCAAACTGATGCGTTCTTGGTGCGTTCTCAGAGCGTGAAGTGCGACTTTACTTACTTTTGTTTTCACCAGCAGTCTGTATATACATAACTGAATCATAATAAGAGTTCATGGTAAGGCCCTCTACTCTGTACGACTACAGTTAGCTAATTTTCCGAAGAAATTATTATCGTCCTCCGTCAGTCCATCACTGCTGAGAATCGTGACTTTGAGCAAGTTTTGTAAACCTTTAATCAATCTTCTCCACTGCACTGTCGTTGGCTAGGTGGAATGGTGAAAAAAAAAAAAAAAAGGTGGAATGCCAAATTTGAAATAAGTATCGAGTTCTTAGGTTTTCACGATTGTTACACATAGGAAATGAAACTTTTCCTTCCTCTATCTATCCTTGCAAAAGAAGTCCGTTATCTACCCAGGATGCTGCGAGAGGCCATTGAAATTAAAAAACATCCTAATTTCAACAGGGAAGATGGTTTCTCCGTACCACCAGTTTGGGATCCAGTATTTCCTCTAATGAAAAATCCCAAACAGACATAAGACTGCAGTACTAATTAATATGTTTTAATTTTCTTCTAATTTCTATTATTAATTAATAATAAATTGAACTTAATAAAAATGCATTCAATAAAATAATTTGCAAAACTTAATGTAGCGTAAATTGGAATGTTTTGTTTGTAAAATTAAAAATAAGGTATTTAATTAATAACTATTGTAACTATAGTGAAAAAATAGGGTGGCTTGCATCAATATTAGACATAACTGGTTGAAGACTACCACCTCAGTCAACCGTGACCATGGGACCTGTAAAGGACCCGAAACGTCGGTTTGTTTGAAAAAACAAATATACGCGATTTAAATCCGGAAACATAGTTTATTTCTTATATTGAAATATGTACTTAGTGGAAATTATTCTGAAAAATTAGAAACACTCATATTATGTTCTGGCATAATATGAGCCTTTCTAATTGTTCCGATTTTTTTTTTTTTCAAATATCTAAACGTATTTTGAAGTTTTAGTTACCGTCAAGCTTCCGTCAAGTATAGAATAAAATTGTATGATTAAAGCAACTATATCTAGTAATAACGCACACACTCAACATTATAAACAAGCAAGTTATAGTAAAACGAGATTTCAAATGATTCGATAACAGCGATAAAAGAATCATAGGTAAAAGGTTAAAAAAATCTTTAAAATGGTTACATCGTTTTCATCTTATTTTTCCATCCTCTAAAGGTTTTCATTCAGTATCTTCAACATTTGACAGATTCAGCGTTCAACATTAAAATATGGAAAAATATTTAATTTTCTACCTAATTTTACAAAATTTTCTCCATGACCCAACACACTATGTACGACTGAGATAAATGTATAACTCATGGAGGAACACAAGTGAATAAAATGAAACAATGAAATTATCACAAAATATATTTATTTTGTCTAGTGTTCGTTGCCTACACTGAAATCACTCAGGTTTAAATTATTAGGTAAAGTCAATCGACATTTTATAACTAATCAATATTGTAATAATACAAAAATACATTCAATATTACATTATAATATTTACAATTAATTATAAAAATTACAGAGTTAGCAAAAAACAACAATGACGTGTAAAAAAAATCACAAATAATACGTAATCACGTGCGTGCTTTTGGGATAATTTCTCAACTCTTTGGTTCTTCAAGTTTGTTATTTGTGGCACTTAGTTCAGGAAATAGTTCCAATACACATAAATCCAATAAATTATACACCAACTGCAACAGAAAAACTTAAATTAGCTTATCGAGTTCTTAGGTTTTCGCGATTGTTACACCAAGGAAATGAAACTATTTTTCCGGATTTAAATCGCGTACATTTGTTGTTTCAAAGAAACCAACGCAGTCTGTGAGCATGCCATGAATAAACCTACACATTCAATGAAGTTTGACAAACAGGTCCTTGCAAAAGAAGTCCGTAATTTCCCTGGACGCTGCGAGGCCATTGAAATTAAAAAACATCCTAATTTCAACAGGGAAGATGGTTTCTCCGTACCACCAGTTTGGGATCCAGTATT